GTCTCGCTACCACATATTCCATGCATGCTGCAATGTCACTTCGTTGGTCTATAACGTAATCCTAGTAGTCATTGTAGAAAAGATTCAGAGATTCTGTTTGTGAAACACATGTAAATAATTTAGGTAACATAATTTCCAAGCATCCCCTCTCAGTGGGTGTGTAAAGTCAGGAGCAATAGAGAGGTTTAAAGTTTTCTCTTACCCTAGCTGCGTCATGAAGTCAGCCACGTGCCAAATTTGAATATAGAGTTACTCCAGAGGAAGAATATATTAATTCTTCTGAATTGGTTCTACCAATTTCTATTCTACATCCTCTTCTGGGTGACACTTAACTCAGATCGTGGGAAAAGGAATCGAAAAGTAAAAACACTTTGTTCCGATAAACCATTGGAAACTCTCTGAGCTCTATTTACGCTAATAATAGCAGAAAGTTTGGATCTGGGGTTGACAAAATCCTCTTTTCTCTCGCGGTAGGTGCAAAGCTAGTTGCCGAGTAATAAGTCGTTTCAACCGACTGTTTGGCTCACAAGAGTGGAGTTACTTATGAAAAGATCTGTCTTGTGTGTAATTAGGCTGTGGTAAGGGTTAAGTATGACCTGTAAAGGGAACAACACCGGATTTGAAAGCTCTAAGCCAATAGGATCAATATTCCGAGTGGCTTTCTCCTGCTCGTATCTTTTGACCATTATGCCCCTTTGACATCTCCTAAAAGATTCAGTGAATGAACGACTGTCGCGTAAAGCTTAAATTTTGTAATCTTCCAACCTTTTCTCTTCTACGCCTGGTACTTTATGTGTACATGGATTTCTTGGTCGAAACACCCACTAAATTCGAAACTTTGCTTCGGTCAATGTAAGGCATAAGTTGTGATATCGAATATGCGTGACAATTATAAATCACGAAAAAACTCAAATTTGCATGATAAATCATACACTCCAATAACATATACTTCTGTGTGAGAAATCATACGTATGATTAATCATGCTATTATGTCTACATTGTGTCATAAGTCAGAAATGGAATGTAAAAGTGCACGATAAGTCATTTTAACTATAATTATAAACTTATTGAAAACACATTTTAACTATAATTATAAACTTATTGAAAACACATTTTAACTATAATTATAAACTTATTGAAAACACATTTTAACTATAATTATAAACTTATTGAAAACACATTTTAACTATAATTATAAACTTATTGAAAACACATTTTAACTATAATTATAAACTTATTGAAAACACATTTTAACTATAATTATAAACTTATTGAAAACACATTTTCCAACTGATGTATATATGATATCTTGGACATCTAAATTGCATCCACGATAAACTATTATAGCTAACAACTACGTGTGTATAATATACAATACTCAACGTACATCCACCGTGTACATGTATGATAAATAATCATATTCAACGTACAAAACATGTATAGGTATTTCATTATACCTAACGTACGATAAGTTATCACATCCATTCCATACATGTATGATAAATCATGATATCTAATGCAAGTGTATGATAAATCATAATAAACAATAAATACTTGTATACGTAAATGAGGATAATGAATCATAATGTGTAACTTGCACGTGTATGTTAATGATATTCATATACATGTCAGTGATAAATCATTATATCCAAAGTATAAGGGCATGACAAATCAATGTACGTGTACATAATCACACTATTAAACCAATGGGTGTGTACACTGAAGACACTTGTATCCGTCACTGAAGTCTGCTTGATGATTTGAACTTCAATTTCTCTCCCTGTTCCCACGGATTTCTAGACACTTATGATAGCTGTCAAGAGTCCTGGGGTTGGTTGGTGGTCTTTAAGTTTCACTTACCTTCATGCATCAGTAGTGCATTCTTAAGCCTATTAGGCCTGGCTCTTAAAGCGAAGTCCCGAGTTCGTAACTCATATTGTGATGGGTGATGCCAAGCATAATGACCCCTGCTGACATCTTCCTGTCCCGCTGACTTCAGGAAGAAAGATGGGCAAGAACTCTTGGACAAATTACACACAAACCTCTTTCTTGCCAAGAGAGCGTTGTGGCTTTAGGACCCGCGAACTTACGGAAAACAACAAAATCATTACTCTAATTTAGCTCGCATCTGATTAATACACCTATTTTTAGTAAATTTCCTGAAAAATAACTGATGTCTTTCAAATATACCAACGACAGACAAAAACACAAATAACTAAAAGAAAGAAAAAATCCTTTATTTTTTTTGTAAACTATTAGCATTAACAAAAACGTTTCCACAATAAATTTGTACTGAATTCTTCTATGGACGTTCTTGTTTTATTCTTTAGGAGTTAATTAATGGACAATAAAATTGTATACATGTTTTCGTAACGTTTTCAAACATTTTTTTAGAATTATTCGCACGCTCAAGTTGTACTGATCTGCTAAAGTTTGGAATACTGACCTATAAGTATTGTTTTCGTTCAGGTAAACCATTATCCAGTAGAGTTCATTTCTAACGTAATCTCTAATAATTCAATGGACCGAATGTGGCTTAGTGGTTTCGTGCCAAATTGTGAATCCAAGGGTTCATGGTTCGTATACCTTTGCTGCTGAATTGTGCTCCCTACCTCAAGCATTTATAAGATTCGATTAGAGCATCCCAGGATTTACCGATGAGTGCTGTTGACTAGCTGGCATTCCTCTGGTCTATCGGTACACATTTAGGGACAACTAACTTAAATAGCCCTTGAATAGCTCTGCGCGAATATCCGAAACAAACTAACTAATAAATCAGCCTGTTCCTGTGTAATATTTTTACAATAGTTTTTTTTTATTAAGTTAACAGTAATAACA